TTTATCAAAGAAGGGAATAATCATCTGCTTTCTATATATAAAAGACTTTCATTATTAACATCATTTGAAATGTATATATATATATTTGAGACCAAGTCTCACTGTTGTCCAGGCTGGAATACAGTGGCACAATCTCGGCTCACTGCAACATCTGCCTCTAGGGTTCAAGTAATTCTCCTGCCTCAGCCTCCCAAGTAGCTAGGATTACAGGCACACATCATCATGCCCGGCAAATTTTTGAGTTTTCAGTAGAGACAGGATTTCACCATGTTGCCCAGGCTGGTCTCAGACTCCTGGGCTCAGGGGATCCACCTGGCTTGACCTCCCAAAGTGCTGAGATTACAGGCATGAGTCACCACACCCAGCCTATGTACATACAGTTTTAAAATTAAATTAATGCTATTGATTAACAGTAAATTATAGTTAAATAGCAATAATTCCATTGCCTTCCACAAGCCTGCATATTTTTAATAATATAATTATAACAACAAAACTTTATATGTAAAAGTATCTTATTGTCTGTTTTTTCACTTAATACTTATATATGCTATTTGTGAATTGTTGCTTTATTAAGCTTTATACCTGATGTTAGAGATGTTTGTGTTTATAATTTCTTGCTAATATATATAACACTCCTCTGAACATTTATTTATTGTATAGCTACTATTTGCTTTTATTGAATAAATCATTTGGAAAAATTTCTGTGGAATAAATTACACAGGAGGATTGCTTGAAGCCAGAAGTTTCAGATCAGCCTAGTTAACATAGTAGACCCCATCTCTACAAAAAATAAAAATACTAGTTGAGTGTGGTGGCATATACCCGTAATCCCAATATCTTGAGAGGCTGAGGCAGGAGGATCATTTGAGCCCAGGGGTTCAGGACTACAGTGAGCTATGACTGTGCCACTGAACTCCAGCCTTGGTTACGGAATGAGACTGTCTCAAAAAACAAAATAAAAACAAAAAAAAATTACAGAGTTAGAATATTTGGCTATCTACTGCTTTTCTACCCATTCTCCTCTTGTTATTTCTTTATATAACAATAATTTTGTTTGGGTTTAGGGGGCAATTTGGCCAAAAACCATGAGTCAAGCCCAAGAGCATGAATTCACCTTATAAGCCAAAACTGGAAATTCCCATCCCCTCCTCCAGGGATCAGTTTAAGAATAAAAACTGACTAAATAAGACAAAAGAAAAATGGCTGAAGACCAATGTCACACAGTCTTGTAAGAATTTTGTTGTATGTATTTCCTCTCTTGCCTGTCTACTTAACCTGCTCTACCTGCTTTTTTTTTGTTATATACCTGTATTTTAAAAATAAAATTGCGTTTACATGAGCAGAATTGGCAATACCAGAAATCCTATGACCCAGCTCTCTTTTTGTATTGACGTAGCAACACTGGGACCAGTCAGTATCAGCTTGCTGGAAAAGGAAACAGAAAATGGGAAATTAAAAGAATCAAATATTTACTTACTTCAAGCTAATATAGCAAATTACATATTTTGGCTCACAATAGTAGTCCATTTTGCCAATAAGAGTGGAAAATACTCAAACCTGATGGCTAAGTATCCTTTTTCCCAGAGCAAATCAGTTTCAGATATGTCAATACTTTGTTCATTTGCTTGCAGTCAAGTTCAGTAACCTTGGAGCTGGGTTCCTACATGTCGATGTTATGTCCACTTTAACTCTTAGAGTCTCACCTTTTCTTCCCCCATACATCCAAGTTTTTGAGGGACATGTGGATGCCTGCTAGTATTGTCTGTCTGTCTACTACAAATGTGTGTTTCTATCTTACACACACACACACACACACAATTGTAGGCCTTCAGAGGACAGTGGTTTGGAATGATCAGGAAAGACTCAGATGGTCCTGAAAGACATGGAAGTCTCGAAGGTAGAAATGAATGCTAGGATTAAAAGTGTTCCAGGGGCAGAAAAGAGAAAGAATAAAGGCCAAAAGTGAGGAAAGAATAAAGGGATGTTCTAGACCAATGGACTATAGCTAGAGTTTGATGTCTGTGGGAGACAAGGCTGGAAAGGATAGTTTGGACAATTTTGTAAAGGGCTTTGAATACCAGAGTTGAATTTCTCTTTGGTGGACAATGGGAAGACATTGATGACTTTTTATTTGGAGAGGATTTGATCGCAGCTGGGATTGGATCTGCACCTGTGATGGGCAGATATCCATATACATTGCCTTAGTCTACTTGCCTTAAACAGCAGACATTTATTTCTGACAGTTCAGGAAGCTGAAGATTCTAAGATCAAGGTGCCTGCAGATTCAGTTTCTGGTGAAGGCTCTTTTCCTGTCTTCCAGACGTCTGTCTTCTTGCTGTGCCCCAAGTGGCTGAAGGAGAGACCTATGGGTTCTTCTCCCTCTTCTTATAAGGATAATAATCCTATCATGAGAGCTCCATCCTCATGACTTCATCTAAACCTAATTACCTCCCAAAGGCCTCACCTCCTAATACCATCACATTAATACCTTCCTAATACCTTCCACATATAATTGGAAGGGAGGCACAAACATTCAGCTCATATATGCACCATCTGGGTGTCCGTTATTACCATAATTCAAATGAGAGGAAGATCTGAACAAGGATGAGAATGCAGCAAGAGCAAAAGGCATTGCAGAGGAGAGGGAAAGAAGAGTTCACAGACTCTGAGATGTTGAAAGAAAGTGCCATCACTGGAATTGTGGTTAAGTGGTTAAGGATGTTTTGGATGAGCAGAGATGTTGAATTCAATTTAAGTTATGTGACCTGAGGGCAGAACATAGAGATAAGTGCAAGCCCCATGAGAGTGAGATTAAGTTCAATACAAATGTACTGTGAGCAAAAAAACACAAGCCACAGATAATGTAAAGTTTTCTAGTAGCTGCGTTTTTTTAAAAGTCAAAAGAAACAAGTGACATTAGTTTGAATAATATATTTTATTTAATTCAATCTATAGAAATATTATTCTATTATATAATCAATATAGTCTAACATTGCAATGTACTTTGGCCACATGTCAAGTACTCAATAGCTGTATAGGTCTAGAATGGTAAATGTAGGAGCCAGTTACAAAGTCAGCTCTTTTCTTTTTTCTTTCTTTTTTTTCTGAGACGGAGTTTTGCTCTTGTTGCCCAGGCTGGATCTTGCCCAATGGCGAGATCTTGGCTCACTGCAACCTTGGCCTCCTGGATTTAAGCAATTCTCCTGCCTCAGTCTCCAGAGTAGCTGTGATTACAGGCGCCTGCCACCACGCCCAGCTAATTTTGTATTTTTTTAGTAGAGATGGGGTTTCACCATGTTGGCCAGGCTAGTCTCAAACTCCTGACCTCAGGTGATCCACCTGCCTCGGCCTCCCAAAGTGCTGGGATTACAGGCATGAGCCACTGCACCCAGCCTAAAGTCAGCTCTTCTCTTTGCTTGTGAATGTGAACCCATGCTTAAGTTGTTCCTGCTTTTTTGCTATTATGAACAATGCTCATATGAAACAGTCATATACACAACTCTTGGTGCAGGAATTGTAGACAGTATATTCCTAAGAGTAGTATCGCTGGGAAATAGCAAGTGAAATAGTGCCAATTTGTTTTCTAAGGGGGTTGTTCCACTTTACACGCTCACTAGTAATGTGTAAAAGAGTCCTCTCCAGCCAGGCCCGGTGGCTCACGCCTGTAATCCCAACACTTTGGAAGGCCAAGGTGGGTGGATCGAGAGGTTAGGAGATTGAGACTATCCTGGCCAACATGGTGAAAGCCCATCTCTACTAAAAATACAAAAATTAGCTGGGTGTGGGGGTGCACGTCTGTAGTCCCAGCTATTCAGGAGGCTGAGGCAGAAGAATCGCTTGAACTTGGGAGGCAGAGGTTGCAGTGACCTGAGATCATCTCAAAAAAAAAAAAAAAAAAGAGAGAGAGAGAGAGTCCTCACCTTATTCTGCATCCTCAGGAAGAGTACAGTCACATTTCTTCATTTTGATTAATTGAGCCAGTGTAAAATGGCTTTGTATTTTATTGTAATTTAAATGTTTTCTGATGATCACTAAGTTTGAACATTTTTCATATCCATTATATAACTCATGTACTGTCATTTAAGTGTTGTATAATATATTCCTTCAAATATAAAAATTTGTTCTCTCACAAATACATATTATATAACTCATATATTGTCATTTGTATGTTGTATAATATGTTCTTTAAAATATAAAAATTTGTTGTTGCAAATACTTATTGAACATCTGCTATCTGCTACATATTGACCTAGGCACTTGTGGAAAAAAATAGTCCCAGATTCCTGCCATTGTGGAGTTTACATTCTAGTGTATGTTGGAGGGGGGCAAAGAAAAGTAAAATACTGTACATTTTATGGTGTTAGTAAACTTGGGTTTAAGTCTGACTCATATATTTCACCTCATTAAATCTTGGGTTCTGCAAATGTAAGAAGGAAGTGGTAATACTACCTATCGTATGTTGTTTACTAAATGCATATGAAGCACTTGGCACCATATCTGGTAAAAAGTAAGGATTCTGAAAATATCAATGGCAATAATAATAATAATAACAATATTATTTTCCCCCTTTCTTGCTTCTACTTTTTCTTTAGTAATTTTTTTAGTTAGAGCTACTAAAAATTTAAGGTTAGTATATTTTGGTTGTTGTTGAAGTGTTGGCTCTCCTTTAGGTGAACTTGTGTTTTCTGTAACAAGCCATGACTTTGGCTTATTTTGAGATGTGTTATTTTCAAGCTTCTTAAATTCCAAGAACCAGCAGCCTGAAGACATGCATGTTTTAGAGACCTACATCGTGTTGAATAGCCACAAGTGTGGGAAAATACCTAGGAATGTCATGTATAATTCAGGACTCTGATCTCTGAGTATAAATATTGCTTGAATTAATCATTTTAATCCAACAACCAATTTATTGAAAACTGACTATGTGCAAAGTACTGTGTAGAGGAGATGCATATGACCTTAACTAATCTTTGAAACAACTATTTGTCCCCCTTTCTTAGATAATGATGTTGAAAATGATCTTCAATCAGACATCAGTTGAGCACTGCAAGACACACACGGAGAAGCAGAAAGAATGCAACTTCTTCTTAATAGCTGTTCGCCTGGCTTCACTGAACCAGATCTTGGATCCTTGGGTTTATCTGCTGTTAAGAAAGATCCTTCTTCGAAAGTTTTGCCAGGTAGCAAATGCTGTCTCCAGCTGCTCTAATGATGGACAGAAAGGGCAGCCTATCTCATTATCTAATGAAATAATACAGGCAGAAGCATGAAAAAAACCACTTAACTTGCATGTGCACAGCTTTTGGTAACAAATATCGCTAAACCTTACTGTGAATTTAGGCATCTCTGGCATGCCACTGTTTATGCATTGAGTGGAATTTTTGGTATAAAGCTAAATGGTCTTAGAAACATAGAAAATCCCCTATGTGCCAAAAGTAGTGAAACACAAACAAGAGAAAATATATTAATAACAGTCTAGTGTTTTTGTTGAGTCTGCCATTTGTAGCTGAATATGTGATTAATTATGTGATGAAAACATTTTTTATAAACGATTTTGGTCTATTGGGGGAGCAGGGATGGCTGATATTCCAGTACACTGAATACTTGCGGAATTTAACCACATATATCATTAAAGACAAGGGATAGTAATGTGTTTTTCTTCAAAGATACTGCTGTGTTCTCTTTCATTGCCTCTTTCGCTTTTTCTCTGTCACTTTTTTCCTTCTTACAATAAAAAAAATTTAGGGTTAAAAATGTATGATATATCCATAATATTCATTAATTCTGTTATTTAAGTATTGCTCAATTTAGCAAATTAGCTCCTAACCTTACAAAGTTTTAGTTGGATTGATAATTAGGTTTACTCTTTGTGTGAGTAAAAGCCAATTCCATTTGTTTGAAATATGGAGTTTGTGACTACCCAACTTGCTAATTATCCTTTCTTTTGCATATATTTTACTTTCCTATAAGCCTGAGGAAGATTCATGAAACTAACCTATGAGAGTCATGAAGCGGTTTTTCAGAATGCTATGTAAGGACCAATTTGAGCACTAACTATATAGGTAGTCTGAATATATATTTGCCTTGATTTTTTTCACCAAAAGTGTTCTCTAGTCTTTTGACTTTTTAAATTCCAATACTGATCCCAAAACAAATAAATATTTGAAGATTCAATGAATACTTTCCACAGTTTGGCCTATTTATATAAGAAAATTAATAACATTGACCCCTCACAGCTCTTCTTCTGCCTGCTCCTCAAAGTGGCCCTATCCAAATATTTATTACTAAAATGTTTTTCCTACAGTCCACAAACCTCTATAGCTAAGCTTAACTTAGTTGTACACATGTAGATCACTACATTAAGTTCTGGGAATTACACTTCTTAAAAAAGTCTCCCTACCAAACATAGTAATTCTATAAGTTAGGCCTACACAATGCTTGTCATATTCTTTGGTGCATTCATTTTGTAAACCCATTAACTTTTATTGTGAAGATTTTCATTTGCAGTTCCTCGCACTGCTTTTCTAGCTTTTTAAAAGATTGAAATTTATTTATTCTTCTTGTAGTAACTGCATTTTTGTGTGTGTGTGTTTAGTGGTCATTTGGTAAATAATTAATTTCGATAGGCACAATATGTCTATCAGATTAATGTATACACCAGCCTATGTCAATCAGTACTAATCATTTTAAATGACATGCCAAATTGAATTTGAAGACAAAATCTACTGAGGGTACTTATATAATTCAGGATGGTTCTACTAATGTAAATTTTGGAAAAAGTGATAGTCTATACTAAAACCTCTCCATGCCATAGAATTGGATTATCCCATAGGTCACCTCATGGGGTATAACATAAAATACCTAGTTTTTTTAAAAAATGCACTTAAAAGACATAATAAAGAGGCCTTACCTCTTGGGTGGTCCTGTGACCGCAAGTTCTAATCAGGCACTGTGAATTTGAGTGGTGTGAGCATGATTTCTTCTAGCACCTCGTATAGTACCTGGAATATAGAAATTGTCCAATAAATATTTATTCAGTGAATCAATGAGCAGAAGTTTGCCAAAACTGAGTGCACATTGGCAAGGCACATATCCTGTGATTGAAGTGCTTCATGCCATTACAGTCCATCAGGCTGATAAAGTGAATTATTTTCGCTTATTTAATTACAGAATTTGAATTTATCTTCAAGGATGTAGTGCCATATTGCTGTACCACAAAGTGCTTTATTTATACTAATAATTTAGGAGACTGATACTTCCAAATGGTAATGGAGATTACTATCAAAAGAATATCACTTTTCATCAAACCACAAAAAATACAGAAAGGCAAAGGACTGAAGCTTATCCTTAACTGCAAAATAAATTCCTGCCCAGGGGTTAAGTTTTAGGAAGGGATGAATGGCAGGTATTTTTGTTTTGTTTTGTTTTTTAATAAGCTTGAAAGGGAGGTGGAAAAGAGAGAAATTATGTAAACAGCATATGAGTTTTGTTAGCTAGGCATTTGTCAGTCTGGGGAAATCTGATAAGTAATGAAAATCCCAAATGATTTCAGCCTTTTCATGGTTGTTGAGGTTCAGTTTCAGAGATGTGCAGAGACTAGAGTAGTGGTTAGAAAGAGGACATATGTAGTCACAGCAGAGAACGTGTCTAAGTTTAATTTTACTGCCCTTCAAGTTCACTCTTACATGCTTAGTTTGTCCATACGTATGTCTAATCAGAAAAATTGCATGTATAGATTATGACAATTCCTTGAACTTTGAAGCATTGGTTAAAAGACAATTAAAGGCCAAGAAAACCATGTGGGAAGAAGTAAGCGAATGGAATATATGTAAATATTTCTATATGGAATATATGTAGAAATATATGTAAAATTAGCAAGTGTCAATTTTACAAAATAGTGCTGATTTTCCAAACAATGAATTTACATACTATGCTGAGTCATAGAAGAGAATGATCACACATTATTTAATGAGAAGTTTATTTTTCAAATAAAATAAGTATGGTGAATGTCTTAAAAATATCTTGAAGTTGAAGAAACAAAATGAGTTATCTCAGTATTTACCAAATTAACCTCGTGCTCTATATGTCCCAAGATATTGCAGGTAAATGTAAGTGTTTAATCATACCAGATTTAAACTAGTCTGAAATATTGAGTATACATATATTTCTACTTACACTTCTTTATTTTATGAAATATCTCTTTACTGTGTTGCAGAAAATAATTGTGAAACCTTATGTAAGTTAACTATGAAAGATCCTGATTGAGTGACAGCAAGCTAAAAATTAACAAACAGTATTTTAATAATGAGGTAACTCTGTGGCAGTATTCTAACATTGCATTTGCTAGTAGATTAGGCTTTTTATTTATACAATGCTTTTTATAATTTGTTCTTTTTGATCCCAAATTAATGATCGGCTTTCAACTTTCTCCACATCAGCAATCATTTAATAGTTCTTTTGGTTGAGATCAACTAAGAAAAAGAAAATAGAAAACTTCTGTGTTCTTTGAAATTTTAGACATACATAATATCTATTTCTTTTCATAATTTAATCCCAAAAGCTTCTTCTGCAATATACCAGATTCTAGGAGCTGAATAACACAAGGAGACTACAGAGTATTTATTATTACAAACAGAAAAAGCTTAATTTGAATAATTAAACTTTCTATTTTTAATCTATATAATAAGTATAAGCCATCAACGATGACAAATTTTCACAGCTGCTTATTTACTGCTTGTTTTATATGTTTATATATCTCAAAATCTGTTATAACTGAGGTCTTAAAAACTGTATGGAATTGTGCAACTGTGGCTTAGTCCATAAGACTGTTCTGTTCTCTAAGTTGCAATAAAATGCTGACACAGAGTGACAGATGTCTGTGATGTTCACGACATAGGTTATGATACAGCCAATTTACAAAATTCAATAATCCACGAAAACTCACATACGTATTTGTTAAGAAGCTGACATCAGTTCAGTATTATAAGAAAACCAACCAGGTGGTGATGACGATAGGAGAATTAGAGAAAATATTTTATTTGATATATTCTCTGTTTCATAATTCCTAAAATGAAGAGTCTATTTAAGGGTTATAATTTATACAAGTTTAGTCATATATCATTACATTATGATACTATAAGCAGACTGCATTATGATTCTTTAGAAATACAATTCAATCAGATATGTATCATATTCATTTATATGTCACACATTTTCTTTACTGAGAATAAACATTATTTTATTTTCAGAAGCTTTGTATCAATTAGTTTCATGTAATAAGCAATGCAAATGTCTACTAGATTACATATTTCTTCATTTGAAATTACACTGTTTTCGCCTAGTCCCCTTGCTCTACTGTGCTTATCCATTCTCTCATGGAGAGGAAGTAACAGACATATTTCCTATTGGTGAGGCTGGGTTTGTTTTTAAGAGGAGAGATAATAACTTCATATTTTTAATACACCCTAATAGGTGAAACAGATCAGAATCTGTTTTGTAGTAAGTCTGCTTTGTTGAAGAATTTATTATAAAAGTAAAGATAAGAAGGAAAGAGATCACCATCAGAAACAAATCAGCTTTTTCATGCTTTTTTGAGCATTTTGAAGATAATTCCACTTTTCAAGTTGTTGTCATTCATGTGTTTCTTCAATACTATTTGTTAAATGCTTCAGAATTTGAATATTTTGATCCTTTAATTAAAATTAACCAAATATCTAGGCAAAAACCAGCCAATCACCAAACTTTAATAGTAATTCAAATATAGTTTCCTTATACAGTTTTCCATGTTGTAGAAATCAAAACTGTAATGTGAAGCGGGGCGAAATGCATGTGATTTACTAATACACTTCTGTGTTCTTTCTCCTTCTGAAAGGATACTTAGGTGGGTGGGGCAGAGAACATAGAAAAAGATATGATGGAAAACCTGTCCCTTTTCAACCTGTTAAACTTCTTCATCATTTTGGGCCAGGCCCTGGAAGCAAAGAGAGCAAGGGACTGACTGCATTTGTCTTTGCGTACTTGAGCATCAGTAGGGGAAAGTCCTGAGTGGCCAGGGGTCTAGTTGTCTGTAAAAGCAAATGATAAGTTCACTCAGGCCCTTACTGACTGCTGAACTCTCTTCCTTCCTAACTCTTACTTGAATGAGAAAAAAATAGTTTTCCTTCTCCTTCTCTTTATCAAA